TTGTTGGGCCAACACAACCGTTGCAGGCATCCCATCTCAGGCTGATGGAAATGTTTGATACTATTTTTTTCAGCCGTGGGGCACAGAAGAAGCTCAGGGGTTCAGTTATAGAGCCTCAAGGTGTCCCCACTTTTGCAGAAATGAAAAGTGAAAATGTTTGCAACTGGGTAGACAGGCCTCAAGGATAAGTGCATTTATTTATCCGTCAGTCCCTTTCACACATGTCTGAAGAAAACCTGGTTTTTAAGAAGAGGCTAGAGCAGGGGTCTGCGACCTTGACAACTTTTAAGACTTGTGGACTTCAGCTCCCAGAATTCCTCAGCCAGCATAGCTTAAAGTTGTCAAAGTTGCAGACTCCTGGACTACTAGACAGTCACTTGTCTGAGATGGTATAAGTTCTCCTGCTTGAGCAGGGGGCTGGACTAGAAGACCTCCAAGGTCCCTTCCAATTCTATTCTATTCTATTCTATATTCTATATTCTATATTCTATATTCTATTCTACTATTCTATTCTATTCTATTCTATTCTATTCTATTCTATTCTATTCTATTCTATATTCTATATTCTATATTCTATTCTATATTCTATTCTATTCTGTTCTGTTCTATTCGATTCTATATTCTATATTCTATATTCTATATTCTATTCTATATTCTATTCTATCCCATTCCATTCCATGTTATTCTATTCCATTCTATTATTCTGTTGTGTTCTGTTATTCTATTCCAAACTTCCCTATCCAATCTTCGGGGCCACAAGTTCTAAATGGTCTCCTACTCGAATTTAATTCGGCTTCTGTTTCGGAGCTCAGCCAAGGACTGGCCACCGGCCTTGATTTTTTTTCCCCCAAGCTCCAAGTGGGGGTTGGGGGGAGAGAAATGCTCCCACTCAGCAAATTCTGATCTGGATGCTGTTCGCATTTGAGGCCCAGAAGCAGAAAGGGCTCTCCAAGGCAAGGGCCTGGGGGGGGGGGGAGAGGGGCTTGTGCACAAGAACCGGGCTCCCTTCCCTGCGTACAACACAACTGCACACCCGCAGGTGAATCACAGAGGAGATCCGAAGGGAGGGGCTGGGGTGGACTGAACCATTTCAGCCTTTCAAGGGGGGGCGGGGGAGGCCATTGCTGAACAGGTCCGGAAGCCCAGCCTGTTCCTTGAACTCTTGCCAGGCGGTTGTGTGTATGTGTGGGTTGGGGTTTTTTGTTCTTTGCATTTTACATAACGAGACAATTAAAGGTGTATGTACCTGTGCAAGTACGCATGTGCGCTCTCTCTCTCTCTCTCTCTCTCTCTCTCACACACACACACACACACACACACACACACACACACTCCTTTCTTTTTCTCTTTCTCTCTCACACACACACTCTCCTTTCTCACACACACACACTGTCTGTCTCTCTCTCACACACACACACACTCTCCTTTCTCTCTCTCACACACACACACTCTGTCTCTGTCTCTCTCACACACACACACACACACTCCTTTCTCACACACACACTGTCTGTCTCTCTCTCTCACACACACACTCTCCTTTCTCTCTCTCTCTCTCTCTCACACACACACACACTCTGTCTCTGTCTCTCTCTCTCACACACACTCCTTTCTTTCTCTCACACACACTCTCCTTTCTCTTTCTCACACACACAGTCTGTCTCTGTCTCTCTCACACACACACACTCTCCTTTCTTTCTTTCTCACACACACACTGTCTCCTCTCTCTCACATACACACACTCTCCTTTCTCACACACACTGTCTCCCTCTCTCTCTCTCACACACACACACACTCTCTCCTTTCTCTCACACTCTCCTTTCTTTTTCTTTCTCTCTCACACACACACACTTTCTTTCTCTTTCTGTCACACACACACACACACATACTCTCTCTCTCTCTCTCTCTCTCACACACACACACACACACACACACACACACACACACCCCTCCTGTAAGCTGAAACAAAAGTCCACGGTGACATCACCGCAAGTAAGCGCTCTGCTGCCGGGCTGCCTTCCTCCCTGCAGGCTTCAAAAGGAGAAGACTTTTCGTGGCGCTGCCCGGTTCAAGATTTGTACCTGTCGGTTCAAAGCCCAAAGTCTTCCCCATCTGGCCTCCCCCCCCCCACTTTTGCATGGGGAAAAAACAGCCCAGGGAGAGAGATGGGAGAAGGCAGCTGCCCTGGCTGGGCCCTAAAACAAAACAAAACAAAAAAAACTTCTGCAAAAGGGAGGCAGGGTGATCTTTCAATAAAAGAATATTCTTGATGTGGCATTTCATCGGAGGGAAAGTCCTGTGGGGTTAGCCTACCAGAGTCCCCCCCCCCCCAAAAAAAATCTCTCCCCTGGGGTGAGGCGTCCGGCTGAGGTTAGGGAGCAGCCTGAAAGTTGCAATTTGTGGTTATTGACAGGCAAAAAAAGCCCTTAGCCAGGCTATGCGATATGATTTCTCTTCTAGGCTTGACTTTTGCCTCGCCTTCTTTTGCCTCTCTCCGTTTCTCTCGGCTGCAGTAAATCTCTTCACAAAGCAGGAGGTGCCGTTTCCTTCGTTTGGGGTTCGAAAAAAAAAAATAATATAGAAGCAAACGGCAAGAATAGCTTTGCTGCTTGTTTTTCTTAGGCTTTGTATTTCCAAAACAGGAAGTTTCTCTCACTCTCTCTGAAGTGGGGGGGGGAAGGCCCAGCGAGATTGTGCATTGCCTACAGGTGCAAAAATGCTCCTTCAATCCACGTTTCTCTTCTTGAGCCTCCATGCTTTTTTTGCGGGTAAAGTTGACATTTTGGGGGGTGTGAAATTACTTCAGAAGTGGGGCATCTTTATACATTGCAACTTCAGCACACAGGCACACAAAACAACAATACTGATGTGAAGTCAAAGATAGGCATCTGGGCAACTTATTTGGAAATGAACTGCTACAGGTGTGTAGTTTCTACTAGAGCTGTTTCTGTGCTCCTGATCTCCCTAAATCCTGATTAGGTTTAAACAAAATTCTAGATGTGAATGTCCTTGAGATGTAGTGGTCAAGGCACCAGGCTAAAAACTGGGAGACTGTGAATTCTACTAGGGAGGAGGAGTACTAAATATATTTGCTACCTTGTTTATTCCAACTTCTTCCTCTTCTTCCTCTTCCTTTTCTTTTTCTTCTTTTCTTTTTCTTTTTCCTTCTTCTTCTTCTTCTTCTTCTTCTTCTTCTTCTTCTTATTATTATTATTATTATTATTATTATTATTATTATTATTATTATTATTATTATTATTATTATTATTATTATTATTATGTTTGTAAAAACAAGGCAGGATACAAATTACTGAATGTCCACTTTCTGAGGAGGAAATGGTCTTGCTTTCCTCAAGTCCTTATAACTAAATTTGGGGGGTGGGTGTAGTTGTGTGAATAAACTCATAATTCATTGACAGATGTAGACATTGAACAATATTCTGGGAAGTTGGATCAGAAATAAACCAAAGATTATTTGAAGGGGCTAGTCCAGGGTTCTGCAACCTTGATAACTTTAAGACTTGTGGACTTCAGCTCCCAGAATTCCTCAGCCAGTTAGGCTATGGCCTAGCCCTAGGCAGATGCTGGCTCAGGGATTCTGGGAGTTGAAGTCCACAAGTCATAAAAGAGCCGAGGTTTCCCACCCTTGTTCTAGACTTTAGTTTGGAAAAAGTCATAGCTGATGACTACCTATACATCTTGATGTACAGGTAGTTTTCAACTTACAACCATTTATTTAGTGACCATTCAAAATTACAAGGACAGTAATTTTTCATACTTAACCACTCTTCACAGCACACCCCCCCCTGGCCAGGTAGTACTCCAAACTCAGATGCTTGGCAACTGGCTTGTATTTATGACAGTCGCAGGGTCCTGGGGTCATTTGACCCCCTTTGGCAGTAACCAAAGTCAATGGGGAAGCCAGAATCACTTAACAATCATGTTATTAGTTTTAACAACTGCAGTGATTCTTGCCACTGTGGCAAGAAAAGTTATACAATGGGACAAAACTAGCTTTTTTGTTTAGCCATGGAAATTTTGGGCTCATTCGTGGTCATAAATCAAGGACTACCTTTAAATATTTGGAAAGAAGGCAAATTGTTCCAGCAGGTTTTATAAAACACACAAAGACAGCTTATATGTTTATATATGGCAGTCGTCTTTATTGATTGCTTGATGTAAAACAGTATCACTTGGCAACTGGTTTTTTGTTTTTGTTTTTTTCTGCACATTACACACAAAAAATTGAACTGGCTCAGTCTGCAATCATTTAAGCACAGCCATATTAATTAACAAAACAAACTCCCCGCAGAGGCTAACAACAACAACAACAACAAAAATCCCCTACCAAATAGAGCATTTGCAAATGCACAAAAACCACGCGCCACTTTGGCTTTCTGGGAAAATATCTTCTAGATTAAAAAAAATCTTTTTTTAACATAAATAAGTTAGTATAATTTCTCAGTGTCTTTACAGTTATGTACACAGGTACATTTCAAAACTTTTTTTTTTCCAAAACAAAAAACAAAAAAAACAAAACACTCCCGCCTAGAAAATGTAAAAAATACTGTTTCCTTTTCATTTACCCACTTAATGAAGGCCAGAAAAGTGAGCAAATAAGAGTCTGGACTTCCAAGAATTTATTAATTTCTCCTCTATGTTGTATGTTGTTGGGCAGGACTTTTTAAAAAAGTAAGGAGGCCAAAGGAAAAAAACCCTATGAGAAAATGCCCCTTAAAAGAGTTCCTCTTTCGCAGCTCCAGAGAGAACTGGGCCTCCTACACAAAACTTTGTCTTGTGATCTCAAAGCATCGCACCCCACCTCAGAAATCAGATACTTCCCCAAAGTGCCCATCTCTTCCAGCGAGGTCAGAACAGGCAAACACTTCCCAGATTGTGTCCTTGACACATAAATTTCACCAGCAGATTCATTAACCTGCTGGGACAATGATTAAATGCCAATTTATTATCTTGGATTTTTCACACACAAACAAAAAAAAAAAGAAAGGGGGGGGGCAATGTTCCTTTAATAAACTGCATCTGCTTCAGCCTGGGGTTTGGAAGCAGATTTCGAACCCATCACCTTTCATTAGCTCCACCCCTTCACAAAACAAACAAAAACTCCCCTCCCCCCCCAAAGAGGGGAGAAAGGTTTATGTGCTACATAATGTAAAAACTATTTACACAGGTAGTACAAAGAAGCAAATGAGGAAAAACCTAATTGCAGAATGCTACATCCATTGCTTTTTAAGAGGCAGGCCCTTTTTAAGACGGCCCGGTTTAGTGTTATTCCACTGCAGATTTTTTTTTTTCTTTTCAGTGCTTTAACGTGTTCCCCATCCCATGGAGAATCAGTGATATGTTTTTCTTTCATTCACGTATTCATACACCTACAGGTGCATGTATGAATGCAAGCGCTGGGTCTTCCTGGCTTCTTTTGCCTCCTCCAAGTTGAAGGAAACAAATATTCTTTAATTCTGTAATGGAGGAAGAGAAAAGGTGTCAATTGCTGAGGGCTCCAATTCCCCGTTTCCTTATTATTAAGAGCGTCACAGAGTTGCGCTAAGTCTGATGTTTTTTATTTATCAAATTTCTACAACATCCGTCTCATCTAAGTAATTCTAGGCAGTTCACAAACACATATATAAATAAGCAAATATACAAACAAGCAAATAAAATCTGCTGTCAAAACATCCTGTGGGTCTACAGTTACACTGTTTAAATTTGTTATTTATGTTCAGTATATCCTTATTTTCCTCACAACAATCCTGCAAGGCTGGTTGGGTGGAGAGAGGGGACGGGCCCAAAGTCACCCAGCCGGCTTTCCTGCCTGAGGCAGGACTAGAACTCACAATCTCCCAATTTCTAGCCTGGTGCTCTCACCACTAGACCAAACTGCCTCTAATCATCAACTGACAAGGCAGCATTAAGACTTAGCCAGCCCACCAGTCAAGTCTGGTTTCTATTATGCCAACTTTTAGAATCCTGTTTTCTAAGTTAAAAGAAAGTCTTTGGCTTTTCAGAAAACCTGCAGATTCTACCGTTTTTCATCACTACACGCACACACACATGGCTTGATTTGTTTCCCAAATTAGTCAAGGTATGCACACACAGAGAGACAAAAATACAACAATCCAAATAATCGAGTACTCAACCCTTTTGAGCCACAAGCCTAACCAAGATTAGCATTAACTAACCCTGGCCTGCTGCAGAAATCCTTCTAAATATGTTGCCTTCTGCCAACAGCCCATCTTTTTGGTTTCCTCCCTCCCTCTCTCCCCTTTTCTAATCTCATCAGACAAAAACAAGACAACTCCACCAACAAAGATTTCATAACACACTTCTTTGACTAAGGAGGGATTCAGTTAATCTGCCCCAATCAGATTTCAGAGTGGAAGCTGACAGAATTATCCACAAATAGGAAACTGCTTCGATGTAGTGAGACGGGGCTAAATTTTGTGCAATCCTGTTATTTTCTGGGAGGTGTTCAAGAGACAGATAACAACCCCCCCACTTTGCCCTCCCTCCCTCTCTCCCTCCCTCTCCCTCCCTCCTCTCTCCTGTGATTGGTCCACCCAAAAGCTTTCATTTCCCTTTCAAATGTTCAAGTAAACAGCCAGTAGTAGTTAATTCGAACACGTGTCCTCCTCGCTCATCCCAACGGCATTCCGAGTATCCACTGACTTCCAAGCCGAACGCTCATTTTATTAATTTGAAAATCCGATCTGCCAAGATTCCTACACCATTCCTGCTTATGGAAAAGTCTCTCCAGAATGCCTGTCCTTAATTAACGAGATTCTGCTGCCTTTGAGCTGTTCCATTGACTGCCACTAAGAACACAGTCCAAATATGTTGTTTGCTAATTCATTTCCACCGAACTCCACAAAAGCTTTATCTCCAGACAGAAAAAGAGCCTGGACATTTCAAACGGTCTACCAATTGTTTACAATGCACAGCAGTTAAGGGGGGGGGGGAAAGAATTTTTATTTTTAAAAGCCCTTTTTTGGTGCATTCATTTTATTTTTTTCAAAGACAGGTTAAAAAGTAAAGAAAACTTTAACAAAGTCTATGTTGCCATCTTGCTAAAAATATATATATATATCCTAGGCCAGGGGTAGTCAACCTTGGCTCTTTTATGACTCGTGGACTTCAACTCCCAGAATTCCTGAGCCAGCTAAGCTGGCTCAGGAATTCTGGGAATTGAAGTCCACAGAGCCAAGGTTGACTACCCCTGTCCTAGGCAAATGCATTCAGAAGCAAAAGCCACCTGTTTATCCCCTATAGTAGAATTACTGCCCATTTTCTCCTAAAAGCCACTTCTTTACTTATGAGTAAGCATGAATTTGACAGCTTAAAAAAAAACAAAATCACATAAAAACTCCATACCTCAGCCAAAGAAATTGCACCAGACCGGCTTGAACGGATACAAAACAAACAAGCTAACGAAGAAGCATTTCCTTCTAAACAGCAAACCCACCTCGACAAACCACCCATTTACGTCTGGCACCGCTTCGGACCGGGCTGCTGCTGCTTCTTCTTCTTCTTCTTCGGTGTCTGTTCCTCGGAGCTGGCCACCAGCGGGTCTTCTGGAGGATCTTCAGAAATTTCTTCAGCTGTGTTGGCTCTTTTGCTTTGAGGAGAGGAATCTGAGAGGGGAGGATTGGGGGGGGGGGGAGAGAGAAAATGAGGAAGGAGGATATAAAAAAAAAGATTTATCCTGGCAACTGGTTAGGCACGGAAGAAGGGCAGGAAAAGAGCATCCCTTGAGTTTTGCAACCATCTCCAAAACATGCCGTGCATCCAGACCAAGGAGAATTAGAAGCCTCTTGTGCTGAGGACTGTCTGACATTTTGGCCCGGTTTGAGAGCCAGCGGAGAAAACCAGGGGGTTAAGGCAGGGGGGTCCCCAACCCCTGGGGGGGGGGCCTGGACCGTTCCTGGACCCCGGCATGCCACCAACTGGGCTGCCCAAACAAGCAAAGCGCCCTCCGGTCCATAGGGTTGCCAGGTGTCCACTATTTGAGCGGACAGTCCGCTTTTTTCACATTACGTTCACTATTTTTTTTTTTCACAAAATAGTGGACATTTTTTTTTTTATTCAAAAGCTTTATGATGAAATGGTACGTAATCTAAAGCTGTACAGTCTACTTTTTTTTACTACTTAACCCCCCCCCCCCCAATTGTCTGCTATTTTTTTGAAAGCAGACCTGGCAACCCTACGCGGTCCATGGAAAAACCTCTCTCCAAGTAACTGGTCCCTGGTGGCCCCAAAGGTGGGGGGACCTCTGGCTTAAGGGATCCCGGAGCCAAGCCAGCCTGCCTCACAGGGTTGTTGTGGTGGTGGTGGTAGTGGGGAAAGTAGGAGGAAAGTATGCGTTGGATAGGTTTGCCCGCTGGAGTTATGGGTGAAAAGAATAAGGGCGGGATGTCAATCAATAAAACCCGGCAAAAAGGTCAGGGTCTGCGAGGGGGTCTCTGGGAAAGCAGCGGGGCTCGCTTGGCTCCCTGCCCGGCCCGGAGAGGCAGATGGCGGGGCCGCTGCCCCGGCGGCCAAGGGCCCCAAACGGACCGGCCTTCGCTCCCAAGCGAGCCCGGCTCGGGCCCCCTGCGGGAGCCAGAAAAAGGTCGAGCGAGCCGGGGAAATGACCCTCTCCCGCCCCGGGGACGCTCGGCCGGACGGAGCCTCGGTGTGGCGGAGAGGCGGCGGGGACGGCGTCTTACCCTCGGCGGCAGGGCGCTTCCTGGGGCCGGCGCTTCCTCGGGCCGGCGCGGCCCCGTCCTGCTGGGGCTCCGGCTGGGGCTCCGGCTCCGGCGCCGCCGCCTCTCCTCCCTGCGCGCAGCGAAGCACCCCGGGCGGCGAGCGGTCGGCGCCGGGCTCCGGGCGGCGCTGGGGTCCGTCGGGCTGCCGGGCCGAGCCGAGCCGCGGCGGGCGGCTGTAGAAGTCGGGCAGCGCCGCCCGGTCCAGCGCCCGCCACTCGAAGCGGCCCTCCAGGGGCTGCCCGCGCCGAAAGTCGAAGTTCCNAGCCCTGCGAGGCCGGGCCTCGCATAAGCCGCGCGCGGGGCGGGCGGGCGGCGGGCGGCGGGGCGACCGAGGAGCGCTCTCGGCAGGTCCGGGGGCCGCCCAGGCGAGGCGAGGCGAGGCGAGGTGAGGCGAGCGCCGGCCGGACGGCCGAGCCCGGCGGGGAAGCTTCGGCGGCGGCGAGACCTGCGTTGCTCCAGGCGGCAGAAGCGGAGCCGGGAAGGAGCCCCGAGCGCGGCGGCGGCGGCGGCGGCGGAGCAAGAGGAGGCGGCGGAGGGCGCGCACCTTCTCCGGCCCCCCTGCCCAATATGGCGATGGAAGGGAGGCTGGCGGAGAGGCGGGGGATTGACACGGCTCGTCTATTTAAACGGAGGCGGCGCGCCATTGGCCCGGGGAGAGGGCGCCGCCTCGGCTCAACGCTCGGCGCGCGCTCCCGCTCCGCAGGCTTTCAAGGTGGCGCGAGAGGCGCGGGGACGCGCGCCCGAGCCGCCCAGGGCTGCCCTCTCCCGGGGAGCCGCCGGACGGACGGCCTGAACCGGCGGAGCCCAGGCGGGAGGCTGCCGTTTGCCGGCCGGCGGCCTCGGCAGGGTCGCTCTCGGGCAGGCCGCGGTCCCCAGGGGCCCGTTCCCTCCGGAGCAGAAGCGAAGGGGCGGCGGCGGCGGCTTCCGGCGCTCTCGGCCGTTCCCGGCGCTGCGGTCGGCAAGGGGAGGCGGCTGAGGCGGGAGGCCCCGGTCTCGGAGGCCGGAGGGCCCCCCCCGGTCCGGGGACTCAGGTACTGCCCCCCTGCCGCCGCCGATGGCAGGTCGGCCGGCCGGCCTCCTGTAAGGCCGGAGCGGCCCTTTCCCGCGGAGGCTGCCCGCCGCTTCTCTGCGGGGTCCCTGCCTTCATTTCCCTGCGGATTCCGCCCCCGGCTCTGTATCCTTCCCGAGGAAACGATGTGCTGCGTGACGGTAGATTTGGTCTCAAGCTAGGATTGGTGGCTTAGCATCGTGTGAGCCCAGAAAAGCCGGTCTCTCTTCCCTAAACTCTCCTTAAGGGATCGGCCGAGGGAATCCTGTTTCTGACTTGCTTCTCCTTCATCTAAGCCAGGATGTGCCTAAGAGCTGGCTACAAGGAAGCCAGAAGGAAACTCCCGTGCATGTGGCCTGGCCCTCCCTCCTTTGCACGTCTGAATGCAGCCCCAGCAGGTGGAAGAAAGGGGAGAGAGAGAGTCCCGATTACATTTTAACTGGATTCCTTGCCACAAAGTTCTCCTTCCTCAAATGGAGATACCTTGTTTCAATCTGTAGCCGGAGAGGATACATTGAGGGGGAGAAGCTGATCAGGATGCCTTTGTGTAGATCCAGGTGTTCTTGTTACACCTGGGTAGAGACAGGTTGCATCACTTGCTTCACACATACCTAGTGGTCACTTGGACCCCCCCCTAATAGTTCATGACAAATGCTACATTAAATGACGTTTTCTATGTGTCGAGTTATCAAAGATATTAAACGGCTCCTAAGATGTATATTTGACCATTGAAGTGGTGGACAGTTTCTGCCTTTTGGGATCAACCATCAACCTTAAAGGAACCAGCAGGTAAGAAATACCACAAAATGGCAGCAAAGAGGCCTTGAAAAAAATATTCCGGTGGCGTGATGTGTCTCTTAAGTATAACAACCAGAACAGTGGAAAGAAGAATAGAATAGAATAGAATAGAAATTAAAATAGGAATTAGAATAGAATAGAATAGAATAGAATAGAATAGAATAGAATAGAATAGAATAGAATAGAATAGAAGGGACCTTGGAGGTCTTCTAGTCCAGCCCCCTGCTCAAGCAAGAGAACCTACACCATCTCAGGTGGATGTCCAGTCTCTTCTTAAAAACCTCCAGTGATGGAGTGCCCACGATTTCTGGTGGCAAGCTGTTCCACTGGTTAATTGTCCTCACTGTTAGGAACTTTCTCCTTAATTCCAGGTTGCTTTTCTCTTGGATCAGTTTCCAACTGTTGTTTCTCGTCCTTCCCTCTGGTGCTTTGGTGAATAAATTGACCCCCTCTTCTTTGTGGCAGCCCCTCAGATACTGGAACACTGCTATCCTGTCTCTCCTATTTCTTCTTTTCTTTAGACTAGCTAAACCCAAGTCTCGCAGCCGTTCTTCGTATGTTTTGGTCTTCGTATGTTTTGATGGTGGGTTCCCTGTGGTGCTCTATGGAAGTCGATGTTGGCCATTAAAGAAGAAGGATAGGAAGGGCTTTTGACTGTTGGTGTTCAAGAAAATTCCTGAGAATATTGTGGACAGCCAAGAAAACAAACCAATGGATCGTTGAACCAATCAACAATGTTGACACAATCAACATTATGTATGCCAAGATCTATAATTTTGGAGAAGGTTCCCGCTAGAGGCACAAATGGCTCTAATTATCCTGTTTTGGACACATTATGCAAAGTTCTAGCGCTTTGGAGAATAGTGATGGAAAAGGTGGAAGGAGGAGAAAAGGACAGCCAGCGGTGGATGGTATCAATTATGGAGGTGATGGAGGCACCATTGGAAGAACTAAAGGATCAGGTCGGAAAGGGATCCCCGAGAAAAAAAATCTGTCTGCAGTTGCTAGGATTCTACATCCACCTGATGGCACATAATCAAAATTTACAAATCTTGTGTTGGGAAAATACATAGATAGTCCTTGATTTATTACATAACTGAGCCCAGAATTAACAGTCCTAAATCATGTTGGTAGGTAAGTGGACCACTATGTGACTGTGCCTGATTTTACAACTATTTTTGTGGTTATTGTGAAGCGAATACCATGGTATTAAAGTGAACTTGTTGAACTCAATGGGCACTTTTTGCTAGAAACCAGAAGCAAATGCCAATTTCTGGCAAAAATGAGGCCTAACCATGGTCCTTCCATCTGCAGAACCACATGGGGGGAAAGGTGACGAACAGCCCTGAGATCTGTGGATATTAACCATCCAAGTCTGTTCAAAAATGTGCTTTTTTCCCTGTCCTAAAGGCAGATAAGAGGATCCATGAAATTAAAACTCACCACGGGAGTTTAATTAAATCCCTGTCCCCAACTTGCAGCCCAGGAAGCCAACTTTAGCTAGTTTGTTATTGCTGCTGCAGGGATGAGAAGAAAATGATGGACACCCAGTGTCCTCTTTGGAAACATCCTTTGCATTCTTTGTTCTTGCCCGTTCAAGAAGTTATTAAAATTAAGTCCCTAGTGCCTGACATTCTGGTCCGACTATCGGCGATCTGGAAGAAAGCCCATCGCATCCAGTGAGATTGAACGTAAATGGGTTTATTACAAAGCAAAATATGTCATGTTCTTCTGCCTTCCTTGCTTGTATCACAATAGATGCATTTGCAAAATTGCCAACACGGTCCCTGAACTGTCGCTATTGGATGTGGCCACACACCATCGTTCTGTATTACCTGCCCAGTTTGGGAGTTTAGCTCACTAGGGGTTTCCTACCTTCACACCTTTTCTTCTTGAAATGCCCAGCAAATCATAAACAGGAAGCATAAAGACAGTCCTGTTGCCCCCAGGGTAGTTTCAGACCTCTGGGTGCCAGTGGCTTTTACCAAGTAAGGATTTCAGCCGGGAGGATTCTGCTTATCCACTGCTCCTGGGGATCAAAATAATCAGAATTACCAACTGAGAGATTTGCTTGTTGGATAATTGGTAGAAGACCAGCCACCTCTTTGAAGGGGAAGTCCCTTCTTGCTCAAAACATTCACAGTCTAGATTAAAAGATAAAACTGTCTGGTTGGAAACCCTGGTAATCTGGACTGTGGAACTCTCAGTGACAGGAATAACCTAGCTCTGCTACTCGTTACACGGAGAACATCCGATTCTCAATATTGCTAGGGCAGGGGTAGGCAACCTTGGCTCTTTTATGACCCGTGAACTTCAACTCCCAGAATTCCTGAGCCAGCTATGCTGGCTCAGGAATTCTGGGAGTTGAGGTCCACGAGTCATAAAAGAGCCAAGGTTGCCTACCCCTGCGCTAGGGTAACAAATGGAACAAAACAGTTTCTGCTTGCATGGAGGGTTGTTTGAAGTGGGTCCCCACCCAGGGAGAATCTGGTACCAAAATGAAGCGATGCGTTGCCAGGTCACTCTGCAAATGCCAGCCAATTGCAGCTTCCTTGAGCTGCTTGTAGGAATACAGCCGGTGCAACGTGTACTAAGGATCATTTTTTTCCCTCTGTGGTACTATTACGTATTATCACTAATTAAATTTATGTGCCTCCCACCTCTCTTGTCAGGCAACACACTGTGGCTTACACTATAAAGGCAGAGATAGAAACATTAAATATTAACATAAATAAGTTTAGAAACTAGAAAAAAAGGGGGAGGGGTGGGAATCTTCTAGTCCACTAACCACCTCCAGGGACGATGCCCCCATCAGAGCTCTGGGCAGAGCCAGGATTTGAGGCTCTGTTGGAAGATAAAAGAGGATGGATCTCATCTTGAAGGGTACAAAGATCCAGAGCAGGAGGCACAGCAGAAAACTCTCCTCCTGGATCCCACTAGATGACTGACAAGGTCCACAGCATGCCTCTTCTGCCAGAAAGAGGGGCGGACTATTGGGATGAGACGATTCCTTAGGTCAGGGGTCCCCAACCCCTGGTCCGTGGACCAGTATCGGTCCACAGCATGCCAGCAAGCAGGCCACATGAACAAGCAACGCTCCATCCTCAGGATGCTGGCAGTATTGAAAAACACACTCCTTCTGGTCCTTTTTCCATGGCACCAGTCCCTGGTGCCCAAAAGGTTGGGCACTTCTGCCTTAGGTGGCCTGGATTCATCCCATAAAGGGTTTTATAGGACCTGGCATTGGACCTGGAAACAGGAACCTGTGGTACGTAGGTTTGTACAAGGTGGCAAAATTAATGGGGCATTTTGCAACACCTGAACATACAGCAGTGACCTGCTTCATCACACTGAAGCTCTTGTGTTGCTCGCCTGGCCTTCAGAGAACAGAGTTTGCCAAAACACAAGCAGGCAACACGGCAGCTTTAGTTGGCTCTTAAAAATGTGGGGAGGGGATTGTGTGCCTTCCAGAAGTAGCTTCAAAATCAGTGTCGTGCCCACGAGGAGCCAAAATACCACCCTGAAGCTTTGCCCAGTCCTAATAGTTAATCTCTCTGGCTTTTTTGACGGATGCAAGGACAGGAACGCAGCAAGCTGTCCATAGAATTAAATGGA